TTGCTGTATACTTTCCTTTTAATACTGTTTTTGCTGCTTCCCACAGGAGTTGGGGCTTTGTGTTGTTGTCATTTGTTTCCATATATTGCTTGATCTCCATTTTAATGTGGTCATCAATCCATTGATTATTTAGAAGCATGTTGTTAAGCCTCCCTGTGTTTGTGGGCCTTCTTGCTTGCTTTGTACGAGTTAGTCCTAGTTTCATACCTTAGCGGCCTGAAAAGTTGGTTCATAGGATTTCAATCCATTTGAATTTACTGAGGCTTGTTTTGTGACCTAGTATGTGGTCTATTGAGGAGAATGTTCCATGTGCACTTGAGAAGAATGTGTATCCTGTCACTTGTGGATGTAGAATTCTGTATGTGTCTATTAGGTCCATCTGTTCTAGTGTGTTGTTCAGTGCCTCTTTGTCCTTACTTATTTTCTGTCTGGTGGATCTGTCTTTTGGAGTGAGTGGTGTGTTGTAGTCTCCTCATATGAATGCATTGTGTTCTATTTCCTCCTTTAGTTCTCTTAGTATTTTTTTTCACATCTGCTGCTGCTCCTGTGTAGGGTCCATATATATATTTATAATGGTTATGTCCTCTTGTTGAACTGAGCCCTTTATCATTATGTAATGTCCTTCTTAATCTCTTGTTAACTTTCGTTATTTTGAAGTCTATTTTGTCTGATACAAGTACCGCAACACCTGCGCTTTTCTTCCTGTTGTTTGCATAGAATATCTTTTTCTGTCCCTTGACTTCTAGTCTTTACATGTCTTTGGGTTTGAGGTGAGTCTCTTGTAAGCAGCCTATAGATAGGTCTTGCTTTTTATCCATTCTGTTACTCTGTGTGTTTCGATCAGTGCATTCAGTCCATTTGCATTTAGGGTAATTATTCAAAGATAAGTACTTATTCCCGTTGCAGGCTTTAAGTTTGTGGTTACCATAGATTCAAGTTTAGCTGCTTTACTATCTTACTGTCTAACTTAAGTCGCTTATTGAGCTATTATAAGCACTGTTTAATGATTCTTAATTTCTTTCCCTTCTTATTCCTCCTTCTCTATTCTTCATGTTGGATTTTGTTCTGTGCTCTTTTTAGGAGTGCTCCCATCTAGAGCAGTCCCTCTAAAATACCCTGTAGAGGTGGTTTGTGGGAGGCAAATTCCCTCACGGTTTGCTTGTCTAGGAATTGTTTAATCCCTCCTTCATATTTAAATGATAGTCGTGCTGGCTACAGTATCTTTGGTTCAAGGCCCTTCTGTTTCATTGCATTAAATATATCATGCCATTGTCTTCTAGCCTGTAAGGTTTCTGTTGAGAAGTCTGATAGCCTGATGGGTTTTCTTTTGTAGGTGACCTGTTTATTCCTCTCTTGCTGCCTTTAATACTCTATCCTTGTCTTTGATCTTTGCCATTTTGATTATTATGTTTCTTTGTGTTGTCCCCTTTGTTTCCCTTCACAGGAGTTCTGTGTGCCTCCGTGGTCTGAGCAACTGTTTCGTACCCCAGTTTGGGGAAGTTTTCAGCAATTATTTCTTCAAAGAAACTTTCTATCCTTTTTCTCTCTCTTTTTGTACCCCTATAATTCGTATATTGTTCCTTTTGGATTGGTCACACAGTTCTCTTTATACTGTTTTCATTTCTGGAGGTCCTTTTATCTCTCTGCATCAGCTTCTATGCATTCCTGTTTTCTGGATTCTCTTCCCTTAATAGCCTTTTGCATCCCATCCTTTCTGCTTTTAAGTCCTTCCAGGGATTTTTTTATTTCTGTAGTTGCCCTATGTTCTTGCTCCTTTAGCTCTTGCATATTTCTCTCTAGATCCATCAACATGTTTACGATTTTTATTTTGAATTATTTTTCTGGGAGACTGGTTAGGTCTATCTCTGCAGGTCCTCTCTCTGGTTGTCTGGACTATTTTGGACTGGACTAAATTCTTCTGCCTTTTTCATTGTGATAAGTGGTGACTGTAGGCAGATATCGGGTGTGTCAGCTGGGAGAAGAAAGTCCTTTCCTGCTTGCTGGACACCTTGCCCTTCTCCGATGCCTGTTTCGGTTACCCACACTCCTGTAGCAGCCACCAGGTTAATCCCGTAAGCTGCTGTGGGCAGGGTCTCGGTCAGAGTGGTGCAGTTCCCTGTGGGGAGTGGCACACATGCCGGGTGCACTACCCCACGAAAGCGGTGCCCCTGCTGGGCAGCTCTGTGCCAGCATTGGCCTTGAGTCTGGCCCGTCGGCTGTACGTTGGGCTGGGATTCTGGGCAGCTGCTGTGGGCGTGGCTGCTCCTCCACCACCGGCTCCCGCAGACCACTCCTGGGCCCCTCTGGTGCTGCCACAGAAGTTGTGCGGGCCTCTCCCATGCCCCTCTGGCACTGCTGCCACCGGCACACATGTGCCGCTCCCTGGCCGCTCAGTCACCACCGACGCGGGCTCACACGGGCCTCTCCTGGGCCCCTCTTGCACCACGGCTGCCGGTGCTCATGGACCGCTCGGTTGCCGCTGCCGTGGGCTCATACGGCCCACTCTCAGTCCCTTCTGGCACCGCCTGCACACGTGGATTCCTCCTGGTCCCCTCTGGTTCTGCCACCCCTGGCGTGCACTACCGCTCTCCCGCTACTGGGCCAGTGTGTCGGGGTCCACGCCAGTTGGGGGAATGACTGACAGGCTGCTTATTGCCGTGAGGGGCTTCAGGCTGCTTTCCCCCCGGGAGGTTAGGGCGCCTAAAGTTCTCTGGGATTCCTAGCTGCTGGCTAAGTGTGCCGGGACGACTTTGTCCAGCTGTGGGGTCCCTGTCTCTTTAAGACTTGGAGAAAGCACTCGCTTTTGTCTCGGGGTGCCTGTTGCGGGGACCTGCCCACAGGTTTTGCTTTTCTGTTTCTCTAATATCCAGCACCCCATGCATCGTGTGTCTGCACTCTGGGTGCGGGTTTCTAGAGCTAGTTGTTTAGCAGTTCTGGGCTTTCACTCCATCCCCATTCGGACTTCTTTCTTCCCGCTGGGTTCTGGGTTGGGTGCACGTTTGGGTCCCACTGGGCCACGGCTTGTATCTTACCCCCTTTGTGTGATGTTGAGTTCTTGCAGATTAATATGTAGCCTGGCTGTTATATCCACTGGCGTCTCTTTTAGGAATAGTTGTATTTATTGTATTTTCAAAAATATATATGTGTTTGGGAGGAGATTTCCACTGAACCACTCAGACCACCATCTTGGCTCCACCCCCTATTTCAATTTTGCATATATAACCATATTTTGTCACACGTTTTTAGGGTTCATATATGTAAATAAATGTCATATATAAAATATGCCTATATATGTGGCTCACAAGTAACAAGAAAATCTTGCCATATATACATTAATTCTATGTATTTATTTATATCTATGTATACTTTTCTATATATTTAAAATCTATATATTTAATTACACAGATACATAATTGCCATCCTATGACTGTCAGTTTTACTTATCAAAAATGCCCACTTTTATTTGTGGGCACATGACTTTATAATATAGTTCATTATTTCAACAAAAATCTTTAATTGAATTGACATCTGCCATTAAGCAGACAATGACAATATCTCCATTAGTCTTTTTCTTTGGCCCTTTTATCCATGTGTTATTAAACATTATTTTAGTTGGCTTATAATGTAGCATATAGTAAATAATATAAAATGCTAAGTTTTATTCTTAGAGAAACAGGCTACATAAACATAGGGAGGAGGATTACTATTATCAAATGCTGAACTGTAATCATTATTTGGGTAGTGTAAAAAATAAACAGTTAATTCTAATACAAAGTTAAGTTTATAGGGCTGGGGTGAAAACTGTCTAAAACTTAACTATAATTTGATGCAGAGGATGCAGAATTGAGAGGAGATGCTGTGTCATGTTCTACTAGAATTAAAGAGGATTTAACATAAGGGAATTTGGCCTCATCTAATAGTTTCATAAATATTTAAGTAGTTGTAGAAATAAAATGAAATTTATTCAATTTTGACTTTTTTGACAATTACTAATTTTTTTTAATGCAGTAGGTTGTATTTTACTCACTAGCTTGAAATACTTCCAATCCAGGGATTGAGGTTAGTCAGAACAGGGCACATGATTTTTCCCAGTCATTTCATAGAAAAGTAATTCCAGAGACACAAAAACTCTGTTACAGCAATCTTAATATATAAGCCTCAGTAGGCTCTTTCCAGTCCCCCTTGCCTTTTTTTAAGTAAAAGTCTTTCAAAAAACTCTGAGAAGCACACTGTCTTATTTTGATATTTAGAGCACTATACATTATAATCTAAGCAGTAATTATTTATACAAGGGGAGAAATATTATAGAGGTCATAAGTCTTAGGATGGGCTAGGAAGTTTATCATTTAATAAGAGTGAAAGATTTCGGATAATTTCAGTATTAGAAGTTTTAAGGATGATCAATGATGTTGGATTTTTTTCATTATTGTATTTCTTTTTTGAAAGCATACTTTTATTTAGCATACTTGCTTATACTTTTAAGTTTATTAGTAAGTCCACATATTTGTAAAAAAAAAACCTGTGAAGTCAGTTATATTGCTATGGTATTATTTGCTTAACAACTCCACCTACTGTTGAACATTTAGATTGCTTCCAATTTTAAAAACCAGTGTTGCTCAGGATATTCTGGTATATATTCTATTCCTCTTTTGTGGTCCTCTGACAATAGAAGAAAATAAAAGTATAAAAGGTTATCTAATTACATATCCTCAGGAGAGTAATAGCACAACGCCTCAACAATATTTAGAAAAAATTTACGTTTCTTTTTTATCTTTTGGCATTATTCCTTTTATTATTAGTCCCCCTAAGAATTACGATATGCATTATAAATGTATTTTATTTATATTTATTGTAAACATCTCCAGCAGATCCAGTTTCATTACTGGCCAAAGTTTCCTTCCTCCCTTCCTCTCTTCCCTCTCTCTCTCTCCCCCCCCGCTTCCTCCCTTCCTTTCTTTCCTTTCTTCCCACTTCCCTCAGACCCTCCTTGGACTCCTCCACATTTGTCCATTCTTTTGTGGAACTTTCTATTTCCTTGGAATCCTCCACATTTGTCCATTCTTTTGTGGAACTTCCTATTTCCATTTTCTTAAGCCACATTTTTGGAAATTTTGTCACAGGAAATTTTACTTGTTGGCTCCGTGTCTCCACTCTTGTAGCAACAGAAGTTGTTACTGATACTGAGCTTTCTTACTTCAACCCTGCTTTATTATCTATCTAAGCAGCAGACAGACAGGAAAAAGTGTCATTCTTCTAAAACAGACAAATAAGAACCACACAGGTGGAAGAGAGGATAAGAAGGCTGAAAATAAGCTAAATATGATCAGTGTAACGTGAACCTAATGGAAAAGCCAACATTTTGAAATACCAGTCTAATCTTGCCCATTTTCCCTGTCCTGTTCCAATGCAACAGGTGATCAAGAACCACATCTTCAAACTCTTCCAGAACAAGTTGGAAGATAAACTCAGAAAGTTTATCAATTTATCAAGATGAAATTTTTTTTAAATTTTAGAATGAACTCCAACATGCAAGGAACTTGAAAGTCATCACACCATCCTCACAAAAAAAAGACAAAATCACAAAATCATTAACTTTTTTCATAGATCCATCTGAGAACCGAGGTCACAGGGCAAGAATCCATCAGAATTTGGAGAGACAGGCAAATACAAAGAGAACCAAGATCAGAGTCCTTAAAGCAGAAGCCACTGGAGCCAGGAACTGGTAGGGAAGCTTAAAGAATAATTTTGACAAATGGTTGGATAATGATTGTGAACAAACTGAAGAATTAAAGCCTCCTGGGGAATCAGATATAAGAGGTTCCTCACACTATATGGGTGTTAATATCCAGGAACACCACTACATGGGTGATGAGTGGAGAAAATTCCTTCCTGTCTTGAGTAGGGGAGAGAAAATAAAACATTTTGAAAAGAACATTTTGAAATGTTCCCATATTATTCTTGATTACAGTCCTCTCTCTCTGTTGAACCTCTGCCCTGTATAGCCAACAGCAAAGTACAAACTGGTTTTAAAGTTTTATCTCTATGCTAGGTGAGCAAGATCATTATTTCACACTCTCAGAAAGAAGACTGGTTTCTGCCAATCTTTCCTCTGAGCTGAATCCAAGTCAGCACCTGAAGGATGATTTGTGGCTCCAGGCCACTCAGCAACATGTTGTGGATCATAAAGAAAAATCTGTACCTGTTTTGCCCAGTTCTGTAGTTCTTCTTCAAGCTCTTAGTACAAAAATATACTATGTCTTGGTAGCACAAACTGACTAATTCATTCCTTGTGAAGGTCTGAAGATGTGCATATGGCAAAAGACCTCCACCTTCTATACACTGTAAATTAATAGTTAGCAAACTTGATTAACTGTCATTCACATGGTGTCATGCAATGATTGTTGGTCTTTTCTTTAAAAGTGCCTCTTATTCTAATTCCTAAAATACATCAATGTGAACATCACCTAGGGCCAGAAATTCTATGTGATTAAGTAATTGGTCTCATGATAACAGACCACAGATATTCTGTCAACCACAACTGAGCCTAACATAAACTAATACATGTACATAAACACGATTTTTAACTTCTATCTGGAAAAAGTAAAAATGACAGAAGCTACTTATATCACAAAACAAATGCTGTTTTATATAATACATTTCAAGCTATCAGAAATCACTGAGGAAAGGACAAAAAAACATTTTTAAAAATTGGGAAATGTTGTGGGCAGACCAAAGAATAAGAAATACAACTGGTTTTAAAACATATAAAAGGATGCCCACACTCAAATTAAAAGGGAAATGTATATTACTCTTATACATAAAAAAACAGATAATTTCACATTGCAAAATGGAAATGAGGCACAGTCACGGACTGTTTTGGAGGATTTAGACTGACATAGATCACTTAACCTAGAACACTTTTGAGAGTGAAACAGACACTATTTAAATCAATATTCATAATCTACAGTTCTGGGTAACTGCAGTCATGCAATTTATGGAATTGTAACACTTTCACCATGCTATAGTCGTGTGTCTGTCTTTCTAAATGGGCAGGAAACACATTGGTGGAAAGTATCATAAAAGTTTTTCCATGAAAGTATCATGTAATTTTTTCCTAAATGTTTAGTACTTTGCATAGAATATATGCTTAAATATTTTTAAATGAATTAAAATGGCTTAATTAATTCACTAGTGCCTAAAGGGACTGAGGCATGGAGCATATCAAACTCACCAACTATACTAGGAGAAGCCAATGATGAGAAGTGCCTAGACAAGAGGTGGAGTAGAGATTACGATACACAAAATTTTCTGTCTTTGAGGCACCTCACAAATTGAGGGAGAGAAAAGAACGTAATTTTCTCAGGTTGAACTTCAGCTGTAGATGTATAGAAAAGAAAGGGCCAATCTACATAGTTCAATAAGTTAAGTGTAGGTGTCTGGAAATGTTCAAAACCTGAACATCACATAGTTGAGACTCATCCTCTCAAATTTGGAATAAATTTGCAACTTGGAATAAACCAGTGTGGTAGGCAGAATAATGACTTCCCTGACCATGTTTGTATTCCTAATCCTTGGAAGTTTGAATATTTATATTACTTGGGAAAAGAGAATTAAAGTTGAGGGTGGAATTAAGTTTCCTAATCAGTTTACCTAAAATAGGGAGATTATCCTGGAATACCTGGATGGTTTCAGTATAATCACAAGGGTCCCTAAAAGATGAAAGAGAAAGACAGAAGAATCACTGTCCAAGTGGTTAATATGAGAAAGACTAGAGCAGCCACTGTTGGCTTTGATGATGGGAAGGAGTCACAAGCCAATGAAGGCCCTTTCTAGAAACTGGAAAAGGCAAGAAAACATTCTGCCTTAGGCCCTCCAATGAGGAATGCAGCCACGTCAACACTTTGATTTTAGCCCAGTGAGACCCATTTCAGACTTCTGACCTACAGAAATCGAAAATCAAAAAAGAAACATGGTGCCTTTCCTCAGTCAAATGTCTTAATGCAAAACGAGTACGAGCCTCTAGATCTCCAGAGAGCAGTCTAAGGGCCCAGGTGGGTAGGAAGCTGGGTGCCAGCCACAAGAAACACAGAGATTCTGTCCCACTTTCCAGCTGGACCTTGGTGTGTGTCTGGGAAGACCTTCTCTTACTCTGGCAATGACACAGGTCCCTCAGGTCATTGACATTAAGTATAAGGGAAGAACAGATCAGGTGTATGGAACAAATAATCAGGAAACTTGACCCCATGCTCTCCTACACCATTTCTGCTGCAGCTTTTGTCACATCTCTGTCTGGAATGAAACCTCTCCTGCTCTCTCTCCACTCCATGTAGAACAGCTTTTAATTTCTTAGCTGAGACCTTAGCTACCTCTTCCACGTTGCTTTTTTGAACCCTCACAGGAAGGATTGACAACCTGTTCTTTTTAGGTCCCCTCCGAAAGTGGTAGATTTCTCACATAGTATCAATAACAAGCTGCTGCTCTTACATGGTAAACACAAATCTCATTTTCTCAATGATGTGTGCAAGAGATGTCAAGCTCTTTATCTTCTGTCAATTTGTCATTTTAAATAAATCCATTTGTTTTGTTATGCACAGTTCCAGAATTTCTACCTTTTAAACAATTCTGTTATGTCTATGTCTTTGTATTGCTAAAACTGTATGTCTAAAACTGAGTCTGATATTATCTGGATTCCTATGGATCTGTTTTTATTGTCTGTATTTCCTTTGGATCTTATCATGTGGTGTTTATCATGTGGTGTTAGCTCCTTGTGTGTCTGGGAATACTTTTAATTTCTCTTTGAGTGTCTGACATTGTACTTGAAAAGTTAGAAAAAAATTGAGACTTCCTCTTTACTTTCATTCTGATAAATTACTGAATAGCCTTAATCCTATTATAAGGATTGAGAGTAAATTGAATGTGATTCTCAGTACTTTCAACAGTCAGTTTCATTATAGGTCAAATTTATTCATACAGTTTAACCCCTCGGAGTTCCAAACCAAACACTGAGGGTGTCTAGCAGGACTGCACCTTCTTTACAAAATACGGATTTTAAGTTTTGTCTTTCTACACCCATGAGTAATGCAGAAAGATCTGCTCAGCTTCCCAATCTCTCAGAATGAGCTCAGAATGAGCAGACACCTTTAGAGAAAAAACAGCAAATTCTAGAGTTTACTACTGGTTTTCTTCTTTGCCTGGACATTGGCTCTACAATTTGTCAACAATATGTTGAAGCCTTCAGGTGGATTTTACAACTATTATGGAGTGGGTGTGGGGGGCGAGTGAGGGGGCTAAAAAGACACAGAAATCTCATAAGCTGGCCACAGAAATGGAAGTGCAGCATGGAGGATATAGTCGATGGTTCTGTAACATCTTTCTATGTTGACAGATAGTAACTATACTAGTTGGGGGTTTAATAATGTGTGTAACTGGCAAATAACTGTATTGTATAGTTAAAACCAGTATGGAATTGTGTATCAACTACACTTCAATTAGAAAATAAATTAAAGATAAATAAAAATAAAAAAATACAAAAATGAAATCCTAATAGCCAATAGACTAATATATATACTATATATTTTCCCATATATTGTAATATACCAAAGAAATAATAGTTTGTGATGTTTAAAACTTCTGATTCTATTTTTTAACCCAAAAAGTCATAAATGATAATAACAAATGACACAGATAAAGAGATTCAGGAAGGCATGGGGAGAGCACTGTTTTAATGTTTCACTTGCCAAGGGACAATGAGGTAGAGACAGAGGTTTTGTATTTAAATATGTACTTACCATAAGTACTGTCATGTGTAGCTTCAAGAAAAAAGAAAACTATTGTTATTAAATACTTGTACCTGTATTGTTATTTTCAATAAAGGCTAATTAAAATACGAAAAAGTAAAATAAAAAAAATGAAAAATAAAAAATAAATGGAAAAAAGTGTATTGCTTTTCTAATTGCCACTCAAAGGTTGGTTTTATTACTTGGTTCGCTATTCATGGAAGTAGAAGGCCCACTAATTCATTAACGCATCAAAGTTACATGCTCAGAAAAATTGTATTCAGCAGGGAGCGACGTTGAAACCCTCTATTTGAGTAAAAATACCTTCCATTTAGAGGTGTAGTACGTGTGGTGTTAAATTGGGAATTTTATAAAGCCTACTTGAAACATATACAGATAATCCATTTTAGAAACAATGTATCTACTAACATGAGAATTTCTAATTTTGTTCAAATAATAGCATTAAACTACAGATATTTACTGCAGCCTCTAACATTAAATACTGGTTTCTTCAACAGAGGGAGCAAATGACTGCAAATACAAGTCTTCACTGTACATTGCACTTAAAACATCTGTGTACTCTATTCATAATATAACCTCTTTACATAAGAAACTTCTTCAAATATTTGGGCGTATTTGAGTCTACTATATAGCTGATTCTTGATTCTATTTCATATATTGAAAATGCAAATAATTTCTTGGTTATATAAATTACCATTATAGGGTCCCACATTGCAGTGGCTCACCTTTTTTATTTTATCTATCTTTTAAAAAACAAGTTTCAATATTTTCTTTATTTGTGTATTTTATGTCTTGTCTAAGAAATCCACCTAGATGACCTAAAAATATTCTGCTATAATTATTTCTAGAAGTTATGACTTTCACTTATACGAGTTAATTCATCTGAAATTGGGTTTCATGTATAGCATGAGTCATGGGACCAATTTTTTTCAATATAAATATTTTAGCTATGTATCAATAAATTTTTGATGCTTATCTCTTATGTACACATTGTATTAAATTTCACATATGAACAGCAATGCTGCTGTACTCTTCTTTTCCATGAGTCTGTACGTATGACCTTGAAACAATACCACACTATTTTATTTTAATACAGCTTTATTTTATTTTACTATCTCAGGGACATTTCCCAGCATTGTTCTTGACTACTTAACATTATCTTGTCCTTGCTTAATTCTTGTCTTCCATTTAAATTTCGAACAAGACTGTTAAATTTCATTATGGTTACTGAAATAATTCTGGCAACTTCATTGAAATTATAATTTTTTGAGTTATACTGACAGTAATATACTGAGCTTTTTATTAGGTCTTCCAATCCATGAGCATGGCATATCTGTTCATTTAGGATTTTTTAATGTCTTTCAATAATATTTAATTACTTTTCCCATAGAGTTCTGTGCTAGGTATCTTAGTTGTTAGATTTATTTCTGGATACCTTATATTTCTTGCAGCTATCAAAATGGTATCTCTTTTTTCCTTGTAAGAAAAATGCAGCTGATTTTTATTACTGGCTTTAAATTATTACATTACATCATCACTATATTATTTTGAATTTTTATGTAAGTAATATGAAAAATTATTTTTTAAATTTTTATTTCTTTCATTTTGTATTCTTGACTTACTGCATTTTCTAGCTAGCACCCCCAGTGAAATGTTGAATACAAGTGGTGATAGTAGGCAATCTTGCCTCATTTCTGATTTCAGAGGAAAAACTGCTATACAGTATCTTCTAGGAAATAGAGAAATCTATTTACTTGCCAGGGCTGCCACTAAAGTAACATAACCTGGGTGGCTTACCCAACAGAAATTCATTGTTTCAGAGTACTGAGGACAAATTTGAAACCATCATACGGCAGGACTGGTTCCTGGTGAGAGCTCTGAGGGAAGAATCTATTCCAGGCCTCACTCTTTGGGTAACAGATGGCTATCTTCACAGTCACACAGTGTGGATCTTCACATTCTCTTACCTCTGTGTGTATATCCCATATACAAATGTCCCCTTTTTATAAGGACGCCTGTCAGCTTAGGTCCCCACTAACCCACTTGGCCTCACTTTAACTTGAGTACCTCTAAAAATCTTCAAGTAAGGCCACATTCTGAAGTACTCTGAATTAGACCTTCAATGGATGAACTTGGGGAAGACACAATTCAACCCATAACAAGAGGGAACACTTCCAAACTCAGCTTATGCAGTCAACATTATCCTAATACAAACACCAAAGATAATACAAAAAACTAGTAAACTAGAGACACAATTATCTTTATTTTACAGATGCAGGATATAAGGTCATAAAAATAATTTTGTTTTTAGATTCCACATATAAGTGAAATTAATTGGTATTTGTCTTTCGTCACCTGACTTATTTTACTTCACATAATACCCTTGAGGTCCATCTGTGTTGTCACACATGGCAGGATTTCTTTTTTATAGCTGAAAAATGTTCTATTGTGTATATGTACCACATCTTCTTTAACCATCTATTGATGGACACTTTGGTTGAGGAAATTAATAAAATATATAACTATTGTATACTTAAAACTAATATATTTTCTATCAGCTATAGTTCAATCAAATAATAATGAAAATAAATACTTTTCCCAAATAATAACTGTTACAGCTTTGAGTTAAACCTAGTTTGGCCAAGATTAATTCCATATTTCTATGATACTCCAAGAAATTACAATATAATTTTGGGGTTACAATCTACTAAATGATAAGCTATATGTATACATCATATATTTATAAATTCTTACCTAGACTAATAATGTACTTATCTCTCATTCTGGGCTTAGGTGTAAATGAAAATGGTATGAATGTTAAACGTTCATGGAGTCTACTTTCTATCTGGTCTTGTGTAACCTGAACTCCCACATTTTGAAATATTTTGACAAACAAGGTTATTTTGAAATCATATTGACAAGAGAATGTCAAGTTCTGTAACTGTGACTCATTGGTCAACAAAGAGGATATCCTATGATGAGTAAGTCCTGGAAATGAATACCTGTATCTTCCAAATGTTGGCTCACTGTAGCTATAACCCTTCTATACTTTTCAGGAAGTAAGGTATCCCAGGAAACAAACGTATTTTGATTCCATAGGCATACACTGAAATTTCCCCTGTTGTATGGGACTATGTCTCCCTTGGCCAATTAGTTTTCATGCCATATCATATGTCAGAAATGGAACATCTCTCCTGATTTTCTCAGTGAGATGGCAAATAAGTACAAATTGTGCATTAACCAAATGAAAGCTTATTTCTCAATTTTACTTTTGTATTTCAGGATCACCCTGCACCTATAAAAGCTACAATACTGAGCCAAAGGTTACAAATACAAAACTGGAAATTCCATGCCAAACATAGATATGCTGTGACATAAACTTACAAAAATCAGTATGCTTATTAATATTTTCATAATTTTGATATCCTTCATGTACATAAAAAATAACTTTAATGCTAAACTAATTTTGTAGATTTAAAACTGAATATATGTGTATATAATGAATATTTTAAAGTATACACAATAATATAGTAAAATAATATGATCATGGAAGCTAAATAATTTCTAATATATTATGCACATGCCAATTGAATTTCACTCAGAAAGGCTTACCTTTAGCTACTGGGAAAGGAGAGTCCCCACACATTTCCCTTTTATTCTCCCACTGGTCCTGCAGACTGCGGGAAGGACTCTGACATTAATCTCCAGTTTCAGGTACAGATCAGCATCTCAACAACAGATTCTGGGCAAACATATACCTGCTGCCAGTCCAAGTAAAATGCTCAGCATCTGGAGAATGTGTGTTTGGGTCAAAGTCTCAGCACAACTGCTGTCTAATTCCAAAGGAAGCGACAAAGTGAAATCCAAGAGGCACCTCAGATGAGGAAATGAAATCTTACCACCTCCACAATGTTCTCCCAAAGTGGTAGGTGTGCCACAAGTTTAACTGGAAATGAGCAAAGACTGTTTTCTGACGGAAGATTTCTCCAGGCTCCACATCTCTCCCCAGGCATCCTCAGGTAGGTGATTTACTGAACCAAGAGGGTCCACCATCAATTTCAATTTCAGAATCTATTGAGAAGAAACTCACAGTGAATACATAAGCTGGGAGAGGCCAAAGAGACTCCACCCACACTCTGCTAGTTCAGAAGCGTACAAACCCGTGTGCTCAATTTCCCCCCTTGCCAAATCATACTGAATTAAAGATGGATTAGGTATTTGATCTAATCTTTGTTAGTGTTGGGGAAAAATATAAGCAGACTTTTATTCTAGTAGGAATTGAAGAAAATCCCGAACTTTAAGCCAAAGGAACCTAGAAGCAGTATCAGACTACAATTAGAAGAAGTTAGCAAGAAAAGACAGGATCAAGCCGAAGTACCTTTGTTCCCATTGTGTTTTAGACCACTGCTGTTCCTTCCTGTGCCAAACTGAAGCCAGTTTGCTGAAATGGTGAGAATTCCTTTTCTCTGGATATACATGCAAAGCACATTTATTTGCAACTATCCCCAAACAATGCTGCCTAGTGTGCAAGGTCATCTGAGGTGGCCAAAGCTTTCAGAGTTACTTGGTAAACCGTGAGTGGCCACTGTTCACGTGGAAAGGATGTAGTGAAATCTGTGTCCTTTCGAGAACATGTCATGTCTGACCTCATTTAGAGAGGAAGCAGTTGTGCTCTTTGTAACTGGTACTACAGTTAAGTTCTTGTAGCAATTCAGGAAATGCTTTGTCTGAGACCAGCCCTCAAAGAGAAGAACTC